GCCGGGAAAAGTAAAATCTAGAACCTCTCATAGAGTCATAAGTCGGCCCAACTATCTAGGTCAACAAGCCGACTAGCTAGATATTTTGAGAGTAATAACTAATAAGTGAGAAGGATAAGGGATTTCTCACTCTCAAATTAAAATGCCTTAGCGGGGACTAAACTCTCAATTTTCAAGGTTTAAAGGTTCATTACTACCATTAGACTAACACTTTAAACCTTGTTCTTTTAAGTTTCTGCCAGAGCAGAGCAGATTGAATCAGCAAAGCAGAGCAAATTTCAACAGAGCAGTTCTAATTTCTAAATAACAGGGTTTTACTCGTGCAGAGTCAAATTAGATAGAGTATAACTTACTCTAATCAAGAGTGTAAAAAGAAGTCATAGCTTTTATCAAAACGTACGTATAATATATAAGGTCTCACATAGAAATGGATAGAAAAGGAAGAGTGGTTTACGTTAACAAAAGGCAATAGCAGCAGCAGCTAAACGAGAAACACACTGATCGATCAGCAGCTAACCAACTGCGCTGTATGTTGCTGCTGCTGCTACACTGCTGCCTAAATTAAAGGTTCCCTAAAAAAGCTAAGCTTATTTACAAACAAAGAAAGAGGTAACTTGCATTGAAGCCTTGCTTTTGTGTGTGGATAAACACTTTTTTTGTGGGTTTTGGTGGGGGCTAATTACACTATCATTTGACCCAATCATAGCCCAACAATTGTGAGTAATAACTAGTTTTTAGGGGGTCCAATTTAATTATGTAATTATAATTTCATCAAATTTAAATAAAGCTTTATTGTGTTATTACTAAATTGTTCACCCACACGTTGCCTTATGTTTTGTCCCTTTCCATTCATTTTGCTTGGTCATACCTACCCTTTAATTTTTTAAAGTACCTTTCTTTTTTATCTTAACAACAATAGTAAAAAGATGTTTTCACATGAATTTCTATTTTGGGTATGTAAAATGATTAAATGAAGTTATAGATAAAAAAAAATGTAAATAGAATGCATTACGCATTTTAAATAATTTATAATAAACTTCGTAGATAAAAACAATTACGAGTAAAAAATGATCGAGTATTCATTAAACAAGTGTACCACACACTACATTTTTTCACATATATACTATGATTTAACTTGTAATTTTTCATATATTTTTAGATAATTAATTGAATCTCTAAATTTTTTTACTAATATAAAAAATTAAGATAATTAGCAAAATATATATCTATAAGACTACAAAATTATTGCTAAAAAGTGCATTTATAGTATGTGAATGAATCAGGAAATCTCAATTGTTAGGTTTGTTTGCTAGTTAGTTAGTCTCTTCAATGTTTAATGATGATTAGATGTATTGTCCACTACAAAACACGGAGGATGTAGTATGTACTATGTAGGTAAGGGCGGAACAAATATTTATTTAAATTAAGCTTCACCAACAATATTTATTTTCATCATACGAGTATTTCCTTTGTCCTTTTTATATATTTTTAATAATTTTTTATATACATATTCATAATTATTTTTATCAACGTCTATCTTATCCTTAAATATTATCTTAAAATGTAATTGTAGAAAAAATATAAATGAGTTTAAAATATTCTATATGAAATAAAAGATTATACTTGTACAAGATAGTCTAACACATAGCACATAAAATATAATTACTCACACTATTTAAATTTTCTTACCTTTTTCAATAATAATAAAAAATTAATTAGGAGTATCATTTTATCTTACAATAGATAAGATGAATAACAATTATAATAAATGGCAATATTTAGAAACATCCAATATATATTAAAAAAATTATTTATATATTTTAAAAATTAAATTAAATATAAAACCACTAAAAACATTAGTTTTTTCATTTATATATAATTACTCGCACTATTTAAATTTTCTTACCTTTTTCAATAATAATAAAAAATTGATTAGGACTATCATTTTATCTTACAATAGATAAGATGAATAACAATTATAATAATTGGCGATATTTAAAAAAATCCAATATATATATTTACAAAAATTATTCATAAATTTTAAAAACAAAATTAATTATAAAACCACTAGAAACATTAGTTTTTTCAGTTATTATTACAATCCACAAGAGATAGAAGTTGGATATAGATATGATCATATGATCTAGGGTTTTGGTTGGTGGACGGTGGGGAAAATCGATAATATTTATGGAAACAAAAAGAAATAATAATTGGAATAACATAGGCAAGTCGTACAAGTTAAAGCATTTGATTATGCCTATTTTATCCTAGTGCTGCTACTGCACGTGTAGTCGCCACCATCTTTTAGATTTTTTAACTTTTTTAATTACTTTGAATTATTTTAAAAAAAATAAATTAGAGTATCATTTGATTATCACATCCCAAGACAGAAGGATATATTGATATTTGGACTTCGTATTAGCCAAGTTGATCGAGTGTGGATTAATCGTGCTTTCCTCTCGTTTTATTGGCAATCATTAGAGGTGCATTTCCTCACTTTTTTTTTATCTAACCGTTTCTATTATCATCCCTTTAACTATTATCGTAATACCCATCTGTTCGAAAGTAATAGTCATATAAACTACGTATATACATATGAATGAATCAATTGTCACATATTCAATAATAGAAACTTTGTATAATAGAAAATATTAAGTAATTTCTTCTTTTTTTTCTTACCTTTCAAAAAAAAAATTAATAGAAACTTTGTATAAAATATAAAATTACATTTTTGTCTGAAATAATAATGATTATATTATCTCTATAATTAATTAACGATATAATACGTTTTCACTCGACCTTTTGTTTTGCATGTATAAATATTTAAGATAGGTCATATATGATCTTCTCCAATTAATACGTCTTGATAATAAAAGGGTAATAATATACATAGCCTTTAGGGCTATATATAAGCATTACAAACACTATTGAAAATTGTATAAAGTTAGGAATTCATGACAAAAACACGCATAGATCAGTGTATAGTGTGTTTTTTTGTCATAATTTTTTAAATTTTAATAATTTTCAAGAGTATTTTTAATGCTTATGTAAACTATTACTCCTACAATATAAGTTCCGACAAACTTATAAGTTTGCCAGATGTCAAATAACATAAGTTCCGACAAATTAAAGGTGTTAATAAAACATGCTCATACACCTACGTTGTAACGATGGCTACGAAAACAAGATTAATAAATTGGATAGGATACTTGACCATTTCGCTAATCTTGGAAACAGTCTAATAATACGTCTCTCGACCGGTAAACAAAATACATTCGCATCATACAAAGATTAAATTATTAGATTCGGTATTAGTTATAGTAGTAGTAATTAGATATAATGGAATCTTATTAAGACCTATTAAGATATAAAAATAGGTCAAAGATATGGTTTTCGATCATATAACGTACATATATGTTGTTCAATGCGCGTGTAACCTAATATAAAATTACATATATCAGCTTAACACGTAAAAGTTTATTAAATTAATGTTATGATCTTAGCAAATATACTTGATGGCAACATAGGATATAATTAGCCAGTGAGGTAGTTGCTGTCAATTAATTAATTAAAATTTGTGTTCATAATTTGCTAAAGGAGGCTGACATTACGTATGCACTCAAGGTGTTAATATCAAACAAAAAAAAAACAGGAGATTAATTAATTAATCTTATATCAGTCCAAATTGTAAATAATAAGATTAAGTTAGATTGAATTGGATTCTTATTTGTCCAAATCCAATTATTATTATAGTTTAATAAGTGTAATAAAGTTTATGTTGGACATTATTTGAGGCTGATTCAATTTTGTCTCATTATGTTTATGCAAATAGAGGGTGGTTTATATTAACATATCCAATAAGATTGTGATGGTTCAAATAGAGAGTGGACGTCTTTACTTCTTGATTTCTCTCTATTTTATGCTATATAAAAGAATAAAAAATCGAATTCTAAACTCCATAAGGATTGAAATTTGGATTATTAGGTGTTAGGACTTAGGAGCTTAGATATGAATGTAATATCCAAAAACTCGAAACTCAATAACACCTAAAGTTAAGTATATACTTCGTATATAAAACGACATCAACATTTATTCCGACACTATGAGTTGGAATGTTGAACACCTTAATAATGTAAACAAAACATCATATATCAAGATTTTTTTTGAAAAGAAACTTTGCCACATGGAAGTTTGATAAAAACTCTTCTAATAAATAAGGACGACATATTATCTAAATTTGAGATTACGAAATGAAAAATGGAGAGTTTTAATCATATCTTTAATTGATTAATTAATTAACTAGATACCACTTAGCTAGTTAATTAGATTGAAGAATAATAAATTTCAAAATATACTATGAAGTATATATCCCAAGTTCCTTGAAAATTGACCCAAAATTATTTCTTTTAGTTTGGCTTTTAATTTACATAATCTATACAAATTCTCATTTATTTTCTACCTACATGCATGTTAAAGGGAAATATTACATAACAAACTTGTAAACACAATAAAATAAAAATGTGAGACAAAACATTAGAATTAGAAATGAGAAAAGTAAATGATATTACTAATGATGTTTTCAGGATAATTTATGCTTTTTAACCTTATCAAATCAACATTTTTCACAAGTCAGTTCAATCATCAAGGTAACGTTTGAGAAAATTAACACGAGCATAAGTATAAGGAGATATTTTCTAAATACTTGGAAAAAAATTCCAAAAAAATGCAAAATGGGGACACGTGGAGGGACCGGGTGGCAAGAGAAGCAAAGAAGAAGCCAATCTTTCCTTTTTGTCCTCCTCAACCTCATTTCAATATTTCATACTCTTGACTTGATACACTATTCCTCCAAAAGAAATGGGGGCTCCACTTTTTTTGCCTTGGTCCCCAAACCTCAAAACTACACATATTTTTTCCTTTTTATTACAAGTAATTTTCATAAAATAATTCAATTCATTTCATTTTATTTCAATTTCAATTTCAATTTCAAAAAAAAAAAAAAAAGAAAAAGGAAAAAAAAGACAAAGTACACTTAAAAAATATGAAAACTCTATAAATACTTTATATAGTCATTATGATCCCTTCTCATTTTCCCATCTCTCTATTTCTCTATATATAGTGGACCGACCTCCCCTTGACCAATCACCATTTGTCCCCCTTTTTATTAAATTATAAATTACCAAAAAAATAAAATGTGTTTTGAGAAACAAACAGTAGTAGTAGAGCAAAAAATGGAGCCAACAACAACTATAGAAAAAGAAGCTTCTTCATCTTCTTCAAGATTCAAAAGTGTTTGTGTTTTCTGTGGTAGTAGCACTGGTAAGCGAGATTCTTACCGCGAAGCTGCCATTGAACTTGGCCAACAACTGGTACTTTCTTTTCATTTGATAATAATGACTGTTTAAAATTGTTAATTAGGGTGTAAATTTTATTTTATTTCCTGGGTTTTTTGAGCTGATTTTGTGTTTTGTTGTTCAAGGTTGAAAAAAGATTGAATCTTGTTTATGGTGGTGGGAGTATTGGGTTGATGGGTTTGGTTTCTCAAACTGTTCATCAAGGTGGTGGTCATGTTATTGGGTATGATTTTAACCTAGATTAAACCAAAAAAAAAAAAAATCATTTCTATAAAAAAAAAAAAAAAATTGAATTTTTGTGTAATAATTTTGTTTATTATTTGATTTTTGATGAACAGAATTATACCCAAGACTTTGATGGGGAAAGAGGTAAACTTTTTTTTGTCATTTTTCTGTTAAAATTATGTTACATGGAATTTATTTTACAAAAAATAACTTAATAATGAGGGAATGTTTGTGTATTTTTGGATAAATTCAACTATAGCTTACTGGAGAAACAGTTGGAGAATTGAGACCAGTTGCAAATATGCACCAAAGAAAAGCTGAAATGGCCCGCCACTCTGATTGTTTTATTGCTCTTCCAGGTCCCATTACTTCTCCACTCGCTAAATTTTACCAATCGAGTTAATTAATTGTCACGTTGATAGTGTAATTTGAACTCGTAATGTGTTGTCTATAATTTGAACAGGTGGGTATGGAACATTGGAAGAATTGCTTGAAGTTATAACATGGGCACAGCTTGGAATTCATGACAAACCTGTATGTAATTTCATATACACCTTACCATATAATATAAATAATAATGCATGCAATATAAGTATAGATTAATTACATTTTATACTATATGAAATTGATGATTGAAATATGATTAAAAAAAATATGTAGGTGGGATTGCTGAATGTTGATGGGTATTACAATTCATTGCTCACTTTCATTGACAAAGCAGTTGATGATGGTTTCATTCATCCTTCACAACGCCACATATTTGTTTCTGCCCCTACTGCTAAAGAACTTGTTCAGAAACTTGAGGTGGGTCCTACCCTTTTTTTTTCATCTCTTAAATCTCTGTAAAAATCTTATCTTTTTTTTTTTTTTTTTTTTTTTTTTTTTTTTTTTTTTTTTTTTGTGTGGCCTTACCTTACTAATTTTCACCATTTCAATTACACTGTTTGTTACCATGTTGCACGGCTTAAATTGATTGTGACGTTGATACTGTAATATGATTATACAGAATGAAATACAGAGTATAATGTTGAAATAAGACAACTTTACTTGGATGAAGGTACGGTAGTACGAGTAGTTTTTAGGATAAGTTGGTATATATGAACAAGTTTATGCCTTGTAAGTTATGTAGCTTGTTATTTTGAGATGAATCTTGACCCATAATATCTTTTTGGTTATAGCTATCAAATGTTCAAATTTTTTTGTGTATGTATAATATTTTACTTTTTGAGTGACTATTAACTTAGATCACCCTTTAATTAACTATGCTTGACTTTGAAAAAAGAGTTATTAAAGCTTAATAACATAATAATGAAAGAATAGTAAAATATTGTCATATCAAATACTTAAATTATAAATGGTTTTATTAAAGGGGTCATATGCCAATTAAAAGGATAAAGATATTGGGATTTCCACTATATATATATATGTACCTTGATGTGTAATATCTCCATCACCATATTTTAGTGGAAATCTTATCAGAGGCAATGAAAATACAGTAAAATGACATGATTTATTATTAATGATATTCATTAAAAAGTCATAGATAATAATGATTACACAATTAGTTGGCATTATTTCACTTTATTTATTCATTTTTTTAAAATTTTATTTAATTTTTATAAATTTAGGAATATGAGCCAGTGAATGGAGTTATAGCAAAGGCAATGTGGGAGGTAGAGCAACAACAACAACCTCAAGTGGGATTCAACACCACTCCTTTGCAAACTGAAGTGGCTATGTAAAGATCATGCATCAACAAACAATGAAAGTCCATCTTTTTTTATTTAAAAAAAAGAAAAAAGAAAATGTATTAAATTTTTTGCTGCTGATTTGGAGGGAAGAAAAATAGCTAAATGGTGGAAAGATGAAGAATCTTCCTTTTGGGGCCCTCTAACTAAAACTATATAATAGTATAAGGAAGGTAAAAAAAAAAAAAAAAAAAAAACTCAAAATCATATTAATAGTAACTGACCATATGAAAAGTTGCATCAAGTGTAAAAGGTCATGGAATGTTGCAAGTGTTTTTTTGCAAGAACTTTTGAATCTTCTTTTTGAACCCACCCCTATCTAACGTTGCTAGCTACCTCCAAAGGAAAAAAAAAAAATACTACTAATGTCATTATATATTATTGTAGGTGGTCTTGGTTGTATGTAATCATCTAACTTTTTATTATCCATGAATTGTATGTATGAAATGAATATAATGAAAGTACTATTATATTACTATCTCTGTTCTTTGAATATTTCATTTGTTGTTATTGGTTAAATGCCTTTTGCTTGAATTTTAAGTGCGTTTTTAGCCCAATAGACGTGGTATTCAACCAGTCAAATTTCACCCAATCTCCTTATTCTTATTGGAAATCGTCACAATAATCAATATATTTCGAATGATATACGTAGTAGATAAATTCGTAGTTGTGAATTGTGCATCTCCGTGTCTATACATTACAACAAATCTCGAAATTCCATTTGTAGTTGTGTATGGAGCTTCTCCATGTCTATACATTACAACCATTCTCGAAACACCAATTATGGAGGCATGTTATCACCCTACGACCCTGCCTCGTTACCATTATGCATTTTACGGTAGTATGACATAGTACCACTGAGATGATATGCATAAGCATAGCAGTGCAAAATGATTAGTAACAGCATGGGATTTGCATGCATCACTGAAGATGTAAAAAGAATAAAGCTAGGATGCATGTTATTAAAAAAGGGTAGGAGGCTTGGCTTCCTTTGCGATTATGGCAGGTATTCTTTTAGAGTTTTAGGCTACTTTTGTGTATACTTGAGTAAGAGGGTGAGATGCAATTGTACGTAGTGTTATGCTGCTTCTATTGATCAGTGAAGCGCGCTGTACACGAATTCAGGGGAGTACAATGCGCGTAGATGCTGCACAAGTATTTTTGTTTCATCTGATGTAGCTTTGAGGGCGTTTGTTGCCTGTCAATGGTCCTCCACCAATCGAACACCTGATTTTTTCTTCTTTTTTTGTGTGGAAGTGAGGCAGATGATGCAAGATAATCTTCTTATCATAAACCTGACAAATCATGGCTCTGCTAGTCAAGAAACAAATGTGTACTGTACTGGTTTTCTGTCTTTCGTTACAAGTCCATATTATCATGTTGAATGTCTTGATTAATTTGAATGTTTCGACATGTCTTCACTATTAGTAAAACAAGTACACGTCCTGACTCGAATTGATCGTTTCATGTGCAACATCCATCAAGCCATTCTCGAGGGTTAGCTTAGTGAGAAGAATTTATTTTACAAACATGCATGAAACCCTCTAGTGAATGTATTAGTTCATTTGTGGGGTGAGGAAAGAGTCTCAATATCGTCCAAGCAACTTCTACCCCTAGAATTTTGATTTCTTTTTAGATGTTGATTATTCTTGATCGATTATTGATACATTGTAACATTGTTATCAGGATTATTGTAGTGTAGTGTCTAATTACAAGTATACATACAATATTTGTATATTCCATTTATTAGCTATAAATGTTTATTTGCATGGACGGTATGGTGTAGACCAAAAGAGCTATTTTACTACCTCTTAGAACTTTCAGAATAATGGACCATTAACTATCATTATCCTAGGGAAGAATGGACCATGAACTATGGAATTATTTCTCTTCTTTTGACGCACATGTATAACGATTATTTTGGGTCGCCGGTGCTGAGAATGTTCGATCACAAATAGAGGTAATGATAATAAGTTTATGCATACGTTTAGTAGGAAGTCCAATTCCATGCCGACTATCTTCATGATGATACTTAATTTTCGATGCATGCAATAATAAAAGTTCAATTTATGTACCAATCGCCTATCACCAAATCTACCAATAAAGTGAGTGATATTAATAACTCATGAGTCATATTTATACAAACACAAACATTTTCGTCACTTTGCAACCTAGTAAATGTAGCCAATATAATGTTCAAATTTCTTTCTAATAGCTAGATTGAGTTCTCATAACAATAATTAAATTATCATAAAATAAAACCTAAACTTATGACAAGAATTAAGAAATTCGCTATTATATGAGCTAGTTTTGCCAAGATCAAGCTCGGTACATTAGATATTGTTATATATAATCTTAAACCTTTATCCTATATATTACGAGGATAAATTTCAAGTACTACACACTCAATCGTACATAAAATCTAATCCTAATCAATAGTACCATCTCAAAGAAAGGACATCTTAGTCCACTTGTCTAAACACACCAAAAAAAATCAGGAAAAACCCAGGCCAATTGATAAGAAGTAGTCCCCCCCAATATTATTCTCATTACATACACTTAAAACTGGTCACAACCCTCATTCACAAAGAACACATGAAGGACACAAGCCTAGGAGTCCCCCACCAATCAAACAAAGGCCACACCAACACCCACACCCACGCACACCCGCATTCGCACCGGGCGACACTCACCATAGTTTGGTCTATTCTCATGGGCATGTCTTCTATTTTTGGAGCTCCGGGACATGTGAAAAGATGTGGACTACTCTTTGCTGTTTTTCCAAGTACATTTCTCACTTTTCTTCACTATAACCTCTACTTTTATTTTTCATGTAATATAATTTTTTTTTTATAATAATGTTTAATTATTTCTGTCCTTGGTCTGGACCATATAATGTAAGAACCTGGACCATATATTATACATACAATCTGTTCTTTTTACCATTCTTAGCTTCTTCTATGACTGTATGAAACTAACATTTGTAGAACATTTTTATTGTTTTTTGCTATTTGGTTATATTTTGCATGTTTATTATCATGAAACTGAAACTTTAGATACTGTAAAATGATCATATATTATATCAACTTTTGTCAAGAGTAAAGAGATTTATTTGTGAGTGTCTCGTTTACCAATGTTTCAGCAAGCTTCATATAAATCTCTGAACTCTGAAATAAGTAAGTAAAATCATAAACTTTCATATATTCAGAATGTACTTGAACCTTGTTTTATGTAGTGTTACATTTAAACCATAAAACTCACTGTAGACTGTAGTGAATCATGACTTCTGCTAATAATTTTTTTAGGTTGCTAATTAATAAAATTGGTAATAATATGTAGTACAATATATACTCCCTCCGTTTTTAAATACTTGCTCCATTTCTATTTTTTGCACTATTCATTTGTCTTACTTTGACTAATGTTTGCAATTTATACATAAGAAAAAATATAGTATTGTGGGTACTTGTTGGAATCATCTCAATAAATAGATTATTAATTTTCTATTGTTAGAATTAATTATTGATAATTAAAAATATTATTGATCAAAGATTAACATTGACATATGTGTCCAAGAGAAATGGAGCAAGAATTTAAAAACGGAGAGAGTATGCACTAAATAGCTCTGTAGTACTTGTCCACTTGTGCTTTTTTTAATTGTTTGCTGAAATCATTTTGTGTATGTCTCTTATTCTTTTCAACTTATATGGGGTATCATTCTTTTTGTATCCCAATTATCTACTACCTCCGTTTTATATTCTTTTGTAACTTTAGAATATTTTATATTTCACAAATAATACCCTAAAATTGCAAAAATATAAAACGTAGGTAGTAGTTTAAAAGTTTCTTTATGGGCTTTTTTTCAAGGAGAGGGAGGGATGAAAATGTGAAAATTCGCGCATGTACACGAGTTTACCTTGTGGGTTAGAGGTAAGTGCGCCTAACAGTATTATTTGCGCATTTGATACTTTTTTTTTATTATAATGAGCAAAAAATTACTCTTGGATATACCTCCCCCTGCATGCATCCTGTTACATATAAAAATTTCTCGCAAATTTTTAATACTTGGAGAGAGTAAGAACCTATTTATGGGCGTGTTCAGCAATAGCTTTTGAAGTTGTTGTTAGTGACCAATAATAGCAGCTTTTGTCCCAAAAATGTTCCAAAATTAAAGATTATAATCCAACTTGCTGTAATAAATTAGAAAGCTCAAGGCCCCATTATTATGGTCACTAGTTGTACCCAACAAGCCTAGTACAATTAAGACTGTAAGCCCTCAAGTTTTTCTGGAGCCGCCTTTGATTTTGGTAATAGGAGCCTTGATCAGTCCACTAGTAAGAATTATGGGCTTTGATCGTACTAAAGTTTGGGGAAAGGCCCAATAAGAATCAAGTAGAATTGCCTTTTCAATTCCAACTTCCTTTTACTTTCTTCAGTACAAAGGGCTGAGATGAGTCTAATTAGCTTAGGTAGTTAAATATTTTTTAGTTATTTTATAATTAAGGTGCTTTTGTGTCTAAAATGTTGTACGAAACACAACCTCGATCTTTTTAGCATGTTAATACGAGTATATGTTTCACCACATTTTATCCCACAGTATAACCATTTTAAACTCGAACATATGAATTGAGGAATAAATAAAAACTTCTGAACCGCAAATATTAGATGGACAAAAAAATTCTTAGGAATTAATTTGCAATATTGAAAAGAGACTAAAAAAAAAGGCAAATTTGTTGAAATTCAGTTTTTGAAAACAAGTATGATTTTTTTTTTTTTTTTTTGTTACTGTTTATGTATCTAAGTCACTTGATACAAAAAAAAAAACACTAGTCTAATCAATTGGTTTTTCCTCTTGCTAGCTAAATACTTCATATATTTTGTACTTTGTTGTATTTTTACTTCTAATCAACCTTTCTACTTTACACATGACTGACAAGTGACGACTATAACATGTACGTTCCCTATAGTAACTATATCCAACGTTGGTCGTCTGTGCATCACTTTGAATTTGAGATTTGGAAAATGTTTCGGGTGAAAACAATGGGACCTCGCCGAAGGTTCGCTGAAATGGAGAAGGCTGGATTCGGTCCAAGTTATGTTAGGCCGAAGGTTTCCTGCACAGTAAACACACGTAAACTAGCCTCGGGGGTGTTGCCGAGGAAGGCCCCTCCGATGCTAAAGTCAGTACAATGTGTAAGAAGAAGACACTATGCAAGAGAGTTTGTTGCTTGAGGCTTTTATGGAATATCCCAGAATATATGAATGGACATGTGAATCTATCAATGAATCAGAATGAATCCCCTCTTGAATGTATCAATATGATGGCTTTTATACCTCATCATACATGGAGAGGTTGGGCCTTAGCCCAATTGGCTTGCTTTGTGGGCTGACCTTTGACTTTAGCACAATTGGAGAGTTGAACCTTGACCTTGGGCTTTTAATTGGATCATTTAGTGCTTAGGCCCAATTGGACTAAATTGG